TTTTTTTTGTGTTTCTTTGCAAGTAGAAATCATCGGCTTTCTTCCTGCAGTTATGCGAGGTTCTGAAGCAGCTCGTTCGGTGGCAAACTTCCTCTTGTTCGACGACAATCCACTGATGCAAAGGAACAAACACATTTATAACAAACAGTATAAGAAAGAAGAGCTTTTCCTGCCAGATCAGGTTGTTCGTGTAATTGCGCTTATGCTTTAGCCTCCTCAACGTTGTCCAGAATATTGCCCAAAGGTGCTTTTATATTTTACGAAATGTTGCAGAGAATGCTCGATATTCACAAACAACGCACTTTGGAAGAGCGATATTTGAAGTTTATTGAGGAGAAATTCAAGTATGTTGATAATGAGGTAAGTCTTTGGTTTATAATTTAAGTTTTTACATTTGACCTTATATTTCAGTTCCCTCCCGAAATGCAAGATGACAGGAAGAAATTTGACACCTACGTCTCCGCTGAAGACAAATTTGACTACGCAGCAGTGCAAAAGTTACTTTCACCAGCTGAATGCAAGGCGCTTCGCTCGATATTCCCCGACATCCAAGGTGAACAAATCCTGGAGGAACTCGAAGGACGCGTCAAGTTGCTTTGGCCTACTGCTAAATTTGAAGAACGCTCCTGCAGCAGAAAATCACGCTCTGCAGCTTGTCCTCGACCTGTTGTGCTTTCAATTGAGAATGACGACTGCTCTGAGTGGTTGGGAGCTATGCACACTGGCTGCGCAGTTGTGTTCTGCACATAAAGTGCTTTCTCTGCCAACGCCGTCATGCGAGTATGCTCTGCCATTGTTTTGTCTTTCACTTCACCTATAAAAAGTAATAATCTCATTTTTAGATGTACATGAATCGTTGAAATAAAGCTCGAAGCAATTTTCAAAATTAGAAGATATGACAAATGTGTAACAAATATGTATCACAAAAGCATAACAAGGTATTTCGAAGAAAGTCAATAAATGCTAACGATAGTTACAAACGCCTCCGAAAAAAGTCTTCGCTCTAAACAATTCCTCTAAAATTTAGCTTGTATATGATTTCACCAATATACTAATGTACTAAAACAAAAATCATTTCATAAATACCTCACGTCGCTGAGGAAACTCTTTCATAAATTCTCTTTTCATAAACGTCTTCGTTTCCATGCTGATCCGTCTTCACTAAGTAAGAAGCAACCACCGAGATAAAACTTATCAAAATAATGATCTTCAAAACTTCCGCACAATTCAAATTCCTTCTAGATCTGGCTCAAAAGGTATTTTTAGAGATGTAAGTGTTAAACATTTATTCT